CGGACTCTGAGGGTGTTGGTGCTCGAGGAGAGGGCTCTGGCGGTGCTCGCTCTGGGGGTGCTGGCGTTGGAGCTGTTCGTGCACCTACAGGAGCAGCCAGTTCAGGGGGTGTTGGCGTTGGCACTGAGCGTGCACCTGCCGCAGCTGCCCGTTCCGAGGGTACTGGAGCTGGTGGTGGTGCTGGAGCTGGTGGTGTTTCTGGAGCTGGAGAGTCTGGGGCTGGTGCTGGCGCTACTGGGGGCACCACGGCTGGGGGTGCGGGTACACCTCCTACAGGTGCTGGTCGTGCTGCCGCGAGGGGTCCTCGCTCTGGGGGTGCTCAGCCGGGTTCTGTCGAGGGCGGAGCAGGTTCTTCTTCTTCGTCTCCTGACACCACTCCTCCTCCTCACCCTTACCCGACTCGACACCAGGCCCGTCTTCGTCTTGAGCGTGAGGAGCAGCAGCGTTTGGAGCGTGAGAGGTTGGAGGTTCAGCAGCGGGTGGAGCGTGAGAGGTTGGAGTTGCAGCGAGAGCAGCAGCAGCAGCAGCTGCAGCAGCAGCAGCAGCAGCAGCAGCAGCAGCAGCAGCAGCAGCCGCCGCCGCCGCCGCAGCAGCAGCAGCCGCAGCAGCCGGAGCAGCCTCCGGCACCTGTTTCTGGCCTTCGGGCCCTTGGTCTCCCCTCCTCTCCTCCTGTGTTCGGTCCTACGTTTCCTCCTCCGGACTCCACTCCGGCTGTCTTCCCTCGTTCTCGGTCTCCTCCGTCCCCCCCTCCTCTCGCCCACACTTGGGCCTCTCGTCCTCCTCGTGCTCGTCCCTCGTCCCCTGTCACTGACCTCCGTACCGTGTTGTTTCGTCCTAGTCCTCCTCGTTCTCCTCCGTCTGTCCTTCCTCGTCCTCCTGAGTCGTCCCTCACTGCCTCCCTGTCCACTCCGGTCACTGACTACTACCGCGCGTACCGCCCCACTCTCTCTCGTGTTCTCGCCTCTCTTGTTACAGACCCTCGTGCCTCTCCTTCCTCCGTCGCGGTCCTCACTGCCACTGTCACTGACTTTACTGCTACGAGTGGCGAAGTCACACGAGTGACTTCGCCACTCGTGTTGTGGCCGCTCCTCCTGTCCGTCCTCTGTCCGCCGGGGGTGAGTCTGCCCTTGGCTGTGACGTCCTAGAGGACAGACAGTTTGAGCTAGAGTTCCTGGCAGCTGCTTCACCTCATCTCTGTGCCATGCTGCTCACTCCTGAGGGAGACCCCGACGCTCCTGACATACCTACTCCTCGCACCTACGCTGAGGCAGTGTCAGGGCCTTGGGCCTCTCAGTGGAGAGCTGCCATGGACGCAGAGATGGCTTCCTACAGGTCTACAGGCACTTACGTTGACGAGGTTCCCCCCCAAGGGGCGAACATCGTTGACGGCATGTGGATCTTCAAGGTGAAGCGGCCGCCGGGATCTCCCCCAGTCTTCAAGGCACGCTACGTGGCTAGAGGGTTCAGTCAGCGTGAGGGAGTTGACTTCTTTCAGACCTTCGCGCCCACCCTGAAGATGACCACTCTTTGGGTGTTACTACACGTAGCAGTGAAGAGAGACTACGAGCTTCACTCTCTTGACTTCTCCACTGCCTTTCTCCAGGGCCGCCTACACGAGGAGATCTGGTTGCGTCGTCCTCCGGGCTTCACTGGCACTTTCCCGCCTGGGACCCAGTGGAGCCTCAGACGACCGGTCTACGGTCTCCGCCAGGCACCCCGTGAGTGGCACGACACTCTCCGCTCTACTCTCTCCGACCTCGGGTTTGAGCCGTCTTCCGCCGACCCGTCGCTGTTTGTTCGTCGTGGGCGCACACCTTTCTTCGTTCTGGTCTACGTTGACGACTTGGTTTTTGCCACAGCCGACACAGCTGCACTGGCGGAGGTGAAGTCCGAACTGCAGAAGAGACACACCTGCACTGACCTTGGGGAACTGCGCCGCTACCTTGGCCTGCAGATCTCCAGGGACAGAGCCGCTCGCACCATCACTCTGACTCAGTCACACATGGTGCAGCAGGTCCTTCAGCGGTTCGGGCTTCAGGACTCTTCTCCTGCCCCCACTCCTCTTGCTGTAGACCACAGACTCACTGGGCCTTTTCCTGACGAGCCGTTCGAGCCCAGTGGTCCCTACGCAGAGCTGGTGGGCTGCCTCATGTACCTGATGACGTGCACTCGCCCGGACCTCGCCTTCCCTCTTAGCATCCTGTCTCGCTTTGTTGCGACTGGGAGACACCGTCCTATTCACTGGGCGGCGGCTAAGAGGGTGGCGAAGTACCTTGGCGCGACATCAGGCATGGGGCTTGTACTTGGAGGGACACAGCCAGTTGTACTCACCGGTCACTGCGACTCCTCCTACGCCGACGACGTTGAGACTCAGAGGTCTACGCAGGGTTACTGTTTCAGCCTGGGTTCTGGAGCTGTTTCGTGGAGGTCTACTCGGTCCTCCTCGGTTGCGACTTCTACCGCAGAGGCCGAGATCTACGCTGGGGCCCTTGCTGCTCAGGAGCTACGCTGGTTGACCTTTCTGCTCACTGACCTTGGTGAGCGGCCGAGCTCTGCACCGACCCTGTTTGCTGACAACAGGGCGATGATTCTCCTGTGTCGTGAGCCTCGACTGGAGAGCAGAGTGAAGCACATCGACGTCAGGTACTTCCTCCTTCGAGAGTTGCAGAGACGCGGGCAGGCTCGTCTGGACTTCGTGGCCTCCGAGGCCAACACTGCAGACATCTTCACCAAGGCTCTTCAGCCTTGTGACCACCGCCGGTTCTGTCTGCAGTTGGGCCTCGTTGAGACTGGGTCGAGTAGACTTCAGTAGTGAGTGCTTGTCTTTTGTCTTTGCTTGTACTGCATATAATTGCATATACACTCTTGAACTGGCCTTGTGGCCGCTGTTTGCGCTCAGACTGTGTGGTGACGTTGTGATCCACCCTGAGCTTGTTTTGTCTTTTGTTTGTGACTGGTCTTGTGACCTTAGGTTGCGTTTCTTGTTGCTTGGCATTCCCCACTTAGGCTATGGGGGTGTGTCAAATGTGGTAGCCTATTGTGGGTCATGCTATATGGGGTACAAACAGTTAGGGTTAGGCATATGTACCCCAACCCAATCAATGCTACTCATTCCGCTGTATTCTGTTTCTGAGAAAAGTACACGCAAGTAGGTTTGCAATGGAAAACAAGAACCGAGCGTACAGAATGCCCCTTGTCATCCTCCCACGTGATGCTGCCATACTTGAATTTCTTGAACTTCCTCCTCACCACAGCCTTCATCTTGAAACTGACCCGTTGCCTCGGCGCTATGGTAAACTGCGATGGCACCACCCTCACTCTCACTACCTTCAGGGCATTAACCCTCACCCTGTAGGTCGATGTGGTGTCTGAGATGCTCATCACAGTCCGCCTCGCAATGACTTTATTCGCTATGTTGTTTAGCATAATATAAGACCGATTTAGATTCCTGGCTGGAACAGGTTTCAATGGCACCTGTCCGAACGCTCTTCGAGCGAGCTTCATGCTCAGCCCAGCAAGAAAGTTGCGGAAATCTTGCTCCGCAGCATCATACGTCAACCCAGGGTCAAACGCCCTAGCGGGAAACACATGCCCTGCTCCCATCTGCCACGGCGTTGCCAGTTCCCCATTCACATTCCGAATCACCCTGTTGCTGTTGTCAGTGCTGCCAGCTGTCGTCATCATGGCAGACATGACCTTCGCGGGCGACCAATCAGGATGCTGCTGGATGATCAGAGCAGCCACCCCGGCAACATGCGTCGCCGCCACGGCCGTTTCCTCAAACACCGAAAACGACCCCGTCTCGCCGACGGCTGTCCCGGGCGCAGCCGCAATGGCGTTGACTCCCGGGGCTATGATGTCTGGCTTGAGAACGACGTTGGAGGAGCGGGGTTTCCACGGGTAGCAGAAGGTTCAACCAGACGCGGCAAGAGGGCCCGTGGAGGACCATTCGGGAACCATGGGGAGGGAGGTGGCTGCAGGGGAGACGGTGGCAGGGAGTGGGGTTCCCAGCAGTGTTGATGCTGCTGAGCCGGTGTTGTTTGCGAGAAATTCAGCTGCTGCTGATGCTGCTGCTGCTGCTGCTGCTGCTGCTCCTGCTGCTTCTACCGCTGTTGTTGTTGCTACTGAAAGTGAAGTGAGGGAGGCCTGGGGCACCGTGCTGCACGGTGGGGCAGGGAGGGTGTTGGTTGGCATGAGAAGGGCAAGAAGAGACGCAGGATGAGGGAGGAGATGCGAGATGAGGGAGGCCTGGGGCACCGTACTACATGGTGGGGCAGGGACGTTATTGATAAGCATGAATTCGGCAGGAGGAGAGGGAAGACCAGCGAGGGGGACGTGGAAGACAAGGTAGAAGTGTGAGAGTAAAACGCATGAACCAAGGAAGAAGGCAAAGCATCACAGTGAAAAGAAACAGGCTTCTGAACCTTGCTTGCGAAGGAAAACGAGTGCGCAGCGCACACACTCATGACATGTCACTTACGCAAGAGGGTGCCGTGCAATGTTGCACAGCATGGCATGTCACGATTGCCCGTCCTGAAAGCCTCGACCTGCAACCTGTGCCACTGCTCCTCATTCTCACCTGGCCCCCACGCTGATATAGTAGGGTGCAAAGTTGTCAATGGCAGGGAAAGCACCGTACAGGTAACGGTAAAAGGACCTCCCCTCATCGCAAACTGCGAAAGACACAGTCACTCCTGCCTGTGGGAGGGAGGGAGGGGAGGAAAAGGGCGAGTATGAGGAGCGAGAAAAGGTTTCAGTGCAAGGGGCTGAAAGGGAGGCAGGGGAGAGAACATGAGGAGAGAGAGCAAGAAGGGCACGGAAGGTTAGAGGATGAGAAAGTGATGAGAGAGTGGAGCATAGAGAAAACGAGAGAAGAAAGGGAGGAATGGCTGACCAGGGGCTTACAAGAACATACAAACATGCGCGCAAGTACATTCAGTACCAGTCTATACTCGAGTTCACCACCAAACTGCACGCCCCTCACACCCACTGCACGCCCCTCACACCCACTGCACGCCCCTCACACCCACCGCAAGGGCACCGAGGAAAGGCAAATCGTCAAAGAAGGTCCGATTCCCGTTGGTGGCAATGCTTCTGCTCATGTCGTTCAGGGACAAAGTGAGCACATCCACACCGTCCGCCACAGCCTGATCAACGGCTGCAAAGACGTCTGCATCTCCAGTGCCTGTGTAGCGTTCATCTATGTGCCAAAACACCTTGTAGATGGCCAGGCGTGCCTTGGGAGCCACGCCACTGATGGTGCCCCCGCCAGGCACCTCCACCCCGCTGTTGCCCGCTGCTGCTCTGAGAGTGGGGTGGGGGCGCATGGGACAGGGAAGGGAGTGGCACCATGGGTATGGGATAGGAAAGGGGGCGTATGGGTATGTCCCTGCACCATGGCACTCACCGCACCCTGTCCCTGCACTCACCGCGTGTCCCTGCACTCACCGCGTGTCCCTGCACTCACCGCGTGTCCCTGCACTCACCGCGTGTCCCTGCACTCGCGTGTCCCTGCACTCGCCGCACCCTGTCCCTGCACTCACCGCATGTCACTGCACCATGGCACTCACCGCACGGTCCTAACTCCCTTCACTCACCCAGCACACCACGTGCCATGGCCATACGAGTCCCGCGGGGACAGCCAGTCGAGGGTGAGGTTGAGGCTGTCTCCAAACCCCGCGTGGAACACGCCTAGTTGTGAGGCGCCTCAACACTAGACTACACTCACCCGGCACACCACGTGCCATGGCCATGTGAATCCCGCGGGGACAGCCAGTCGAGGGTGAGGTTGAGGTTGTCTCCAAACCCCGCGTGGAAGATACCCCCGCCGATTATTTTCTTGTTGTTACAAGCGAAGTCGCTTGTAGTGGGACACGTGCCTGACCAACCAGCAGGGAGCGTGCTGCTGTAGCCCTGGCGGGGGGGAGGAGGGAAGGGGTGCAGGGGGGGAGCTAAGTTGGAAAAGGCGCCGATGATAGTGGTCTGCTGTAGCCCTGGTGGGGACGAGGAGGGGAGGGGTGGAGGGGGGTGTATAAGTAGGAATACGGGCTCAGAAGTATGAGAATTTCGCGTAGAAAAGCTAGCGTGAGGGTGGGCCCATAAGGTGAACAGTGAGGGGCGGCTGTGAACGTACGGTGTCGTCAAAGGAGGGGTGCTCCGGCCACACGCCGCTGTCCAGGATTCCAATCACCGTGCCTTCGCCATCGCTCGGCGCTCCAGCCAGAGAGGCATCAGCAGGAGCAGCGGGAGTGGCAGCAGCGGGAGCAGCGGGAGTGGCAGCAGCGGGAGCAACGAATGTGGCAGCAGCAGCAGCAGCAGCAACAGTGGGTGCGAGGCAGAGACTTGTGCCCATCAGCGGCAGCAGTGACGGTGCGGCGGCGTGTGATGGTGCGAGAGGGCGTGACGGACGCCACAGAGGGGTGCCGCCTCATGCGCTGCACCTGCGCTGCCGTGAGGGCCGCTGCAAAGCCGTTGTCTGTGTGCTTGTAGCTGATGGGGAAGGGAAAAAGTACAGGGGGGGGGGGGGGGGGGGGGGGGGGGGGGGGAGGGGGAGATAGAGGGGCGGGCAAGGGAGGGCGTGGGGGTCGCTGCAAAGCCGTTGTCTGTGTGCTTGTAGCTGTGGGGGAAGGGAGCGCGTGCAGGGGGAGGCGAGGCAAGGAAGGGGGGGCGAAGCAAGGAAAGGGGGGCGAAGAGTGAACTTGTGCGAGTCGGTGGCTCAGTGGTGGTGCGGGCGGGGTTTACGAGTGATGGATACGCCTTGTGCGGCATTTTAAGAGTCGAGGGGAGGAAGTAAGGGCCACGGGATGAACTTGTACGAGTCCCCCTCATTCCCCTCTCGCACAGCAATAAACTCGCCCACTTTCCTCACTCCCCTCACCTGTAGACCATCTTTCCCCTCACCTGTACACCATCCTTCCCCTCACCTGTACACCATCTTCCCCGCGTCCACCCCGCTGTCTCTCAGCACGGCCTGCTGCATGCGCTGCAGCAGCTGCTTGAACGCCCTCACGTCCGGCGCCCTCACGTCCACCCGCGGCCGCCGCGGTCGACGGTTTATGCCTCCTGAATTGCTGGTAGTGGCAGCGGTGACAGGATCACCTGAAGCCGTGCCAACGCCACCGTTGCTTGCAGCAGAGGAGTTTGAGCGACCTGCCTCGTCGGAACCGTTGGCTGCATCGTCCGCTATGGCATCTGCCGTGTTGCCGTTAGGGTCGCTGTCCCACACGGCCGTTGCCGGGTAGCCGGAAATCCCGCCGTGTAGGAGGCGACGGGTGGCGCGGAGCGCAGGCGGATGATGTAGAGCGCGGAGGCATCGGGGGAAGCTGCGGCGGATCGGGGGAACAGGGCGAGGGGGGGGATGAGGACGAGATCATAAGAGGAAGCATACGAGGGATTTATTCCAAGGGATGACGCGGGCGTGAGTGGTGCGTCATCGCGGAAAAGGGAAATTGCGTTTTGGGGTGTCCGAAGGTTTTTCTGCGTGGTTCTTGCGTTTTCTCACCGGCGTTGGTGGAGCGGGAAGGCGTTACAGGTAGAGTGAGGAGGAGCAATAGTAAGAGACGGACAGCCCATGCGAATAGGAAGAATTGTTTCTCAGAATGCAACGAATGATGTTTTTCAGAACGCTTCAGGAGCAACGGGTGTAGTTCGCAAGAAGCCATCACAGCGGTAGTTCTACTATTAGGAGCAGGAATGGGGGTAACTGGCGGTAAATTAGGAGCAGGAATGGCGGTAATTTTGGAAGAAGAAACGGATACGTATGCACGAAGCACTCGAAGATTTATCCTCGTCGAGGGAACAAGAAAGGTGATACCTCGTGAAATCAAGAAAATGTCGCGTGGAGGAAGAGCTGCAGAGCGGAGGGCAGCAGCAACTGCAGAGCGGAGGGCAGCATGAGCTGCAGGGCGGAGGGCAGCAGCCCAATCAGAGCGGAGGGCAGCAGCAGCTGCAGAGCGGAGGGCAGCAGGAGCTGCAGAGCGGAGGGCAGCAGGAGCTGCAGAGCGGAGGGCAGCAGCAGCTGCAGAGCGGAGGGCAGCAGCCCAATCAGAGCGGAGGGCAGCAGGAGCTGCAGAGCGGAGGGCAGCAGCAGCTGCAAAGAGGAGAGCAGCAGGTGCTGCAGAGTGGAGGACAGCAGGAGCTGCAGAGCCGGGAGCAGCAAGAGCTGCGGAGTGAAGGGCAGCGGCAGCTGCAGAGTGGAGGGCAGCAGGAGCTGCAGAGTGGAGGGCAGCAGGAGCTGCAGAGCGGAGGGCAGCAAGACCCACTGGGGGAGTTGGATGTGGAGATAGAGGCCGAGGCATACACCGACGAGCTGGAATCAAGCCCCATGGAGGGTGAGAATGCCAACCCCGACTCCTCGGACCAAGCGGAAAGGCCCCGAGTGCGGGGGCGGGGCCGGAGGCGACGGGCAACCAAACTGCTACAGCTGCAGAGGGGAGGGCAGCAGCAGCTGCAGAGCGGAGGGCAGCAGGAGCTGCAGAGCGGAGGGCAGCAGCCCAATCAGAGCGGAGGGCAGCAGCAGCTGCAGAGCGGAGGGCAGCAGCCCAATCAGAGCGGAGGGCAGCAGCAACTGCTGCAGAGCGGAGGGCAGCAGCAGCTGCAGAGTGGAGGGCAGCATGAGCTGCAGGGCGGAGGGCAGCAGCCCAATCAGAGCGGAGGGCAGCAGCAGCTGCAGAGCGGAGGGCAGCAGCAGCTGCAGAGCGGAGGGCAGCAGCAGCTGCAGAGTGGAGGGCAGCAGCCCAATCAGAGCGGAGGGCAGCAGCAGCTGCAGAGCGGAGGGCAGCAGCAGCTGCAGAGCGGAGGGCAGCAGCAGCTGCAGAGCGGAGGGCAGCAGCAGCTGCAGAGTGGGGGGCAGCAGCAGCTGCAGTGCGGAGGGCAGCAGCAGCTGCAGAGCGGAGGGCAGCAGCAGCTGCAGAGCGGAGGGCAGCAGCAGCTGCAGAGCGGAGGGCAGCAGCAGCTGCAGAGCAGAGGGCAGCAGGAGCTGCCCGATGGGCTGCAACTTGCGAGGCTGCCAGAGGGGGAGATGGAGATGGAGTCGAGCAGACAGGTCTTGCCGGCATGTTTGAGTGGAGAGGAGCACCCAGACCCTATGCTGACACCCCCGCCCCGCATCCCGTGCGAAACCTGTTATCGCACTTTCACGGAGAGAGGAAAGGCCACGCGTCATATGTCGGCCTGCAGGGCAGCGGACGCCAAGCGCCGTGCACAGGCGCTTGGGTTGACCCGCGACGTCACAGACGACTCGGACAGCGAACCTCCGCCACCACGGGATATCAGTGAAGAGGTGTGGGCCGCAGTTCCCACATGGGACTGGGAGTCGTTTTTCGGGATCGAATTGGTGCCAGGGAGAATCATGCGTCGCATCCCACAGCGCGCAAGACTGGGGGTGCTTGATGCACTAGCTTGTATCCTGAAGCGGCTCAAGTCAAAGGCAGCAGACGAGGCGGCATCCTTGGTGTTTTTGGCCTTCCCTCGTCTTTTCTTGGGGATTCCAACCGGGCAAGGCCAGGGGCAGAGGGCGGCAATTAGGGAGCGGTTGGAGAAGTTTTGGGCTGGGGAGTGGCAGCAGCTGTTTGAGTTGGCGGTGGCGGCGATGCAACCTGCGGCTCGCCCCTTGTCCTTCACCCCACCCGAGCATGATCCTGATGCCGTGCGCCTATCCCGCTGCCGTACAAGGTGCAAAGTGGGAGAATGGAGTCGGGGTTTGGTGTGTCTTACTGCTGGTAGCATCACTCAGCCTTCTCAGCACATGGTGGACGCGCTACGAGCGAAACACCCATCGTGCGAGTCCGCCATTCCTGGGTGGGTGCAGGAGGAGACAGTCGAGCCTTCCCTTATCCCACAGCTCTCAGTGGAGGTACTCGGCCAGGCGATCCACTCAGCGGCTAGGGCGTCCGCACCAGGACCGTCGGGGTGGGTGACGGAGCACCTGCGCGACACTTTTCTCTCTGAGCCCGCGTACCTGTCCCACCTGCTAGAGGTCTTCACCCAGTGGACCAAGGGAGAGGTAGCGGAGCGCGTGCGACCCTGGCTCACTGCGTCCAACTTGGTGGGCCTGTCGAAGCCGAATGGTGACGTTCGCCCGGTGGCTATAGGCGAGGTGCTCCCCCGCATACTATCTCGGGCCATATGCATCGTGCTTCGCCCGAAGATGATGTCGCACTTTGCTCCGTGTAACCAGTTTGGAGTCGGGTCCAGGTCGGGAGTGGAAGTCCTCGCACATGCCTTCCGTTCCGCCATCTCTACTCACCGGTCGTGGTGCGCGCTGCAAATTGACGTGGCGAACGCTTTCAACTCCTTCCATCGGCGGGAAATGTTTGAGGGTCTTCGACAGTCGCCTTTCAAGGGATTGATTCCATTTCTGCGTGTCTTCTACGGCACTCCTAGCGACCTCTATCTCCGTGCGGGCCCTTTTGTCGAAGCTTTGGCCTCCGAGCGGGGCTCGAGGCAAGGGGACCCATTGGGTCCGTTTCTGTTCGCGTTCACACAGCAGCTGGTTATGGAACCAACCAAAACAGAGTTCGCCGACTTACTCTTCCTCAGCTATGCTGATGATACGTATATCCTGGGGCCTAGGGAGCGGGTTTTAGCAGCCTATGAGGCCTTGCGGGAACGATTGGACGGGCTGGGTTTGGAGGTGCAGCCGCATAAGTGTAAGCTATGGGAGCGAGGGAGGGACCAGGATGGGGAGGAGAGAAATGAGACCGTCCCGCCCGGCATGCAGCAGACATGGACGGGGCTCACTGTGGTAGGGGTCCCCATTGGGGAGGAGGACTGGGAGGTGGCTAGCCTGCGTCGCCGGCTGACGGAGCTGCATGCACCTGTCCCCTGGCTTCCTCTGCTTGACCACCCACAGATTGCGTCCCATTTGTTGGCGATCGCAGTGTCAGCGCACCCGATCTACTTCACATGGACGATGCCTCCACGACCTGAGGTTGTGGAGGCTTTTCGGGACTGGGACACGAAGCTGGAAGATTGTTTCGAGGAGCTGTTTCCAGATAGTACCTGGGATCACGATTCGGGGAAGTCCCAGATGGCTCGTTTACAGCTGCACCTTCCTGCCAGACTCGGAGGGTTTGGCATTCGATCCATGGCTGACCTTAGTCCTCTGTCGTATGCATGTGGCTGGTGCCAAGCAGTGAGCGATGTGGCTCGGTTGGGGGTGGCAGGTGAGGAGCGGATGTTTGAGGAGTTTTTCCGCACGCCCGAGGCTACGACCTTGTTGGACCCCTGGTTTGCGAGAGCAGTGGATCTGCTTCCACAGTCGGTCCGGCAGGAGATGCCACCCCTTGCCTTGTGCACCGCTGATCCGCCTATGCTGCTCTTCTCCACACAACACCGTCGCCTAGCGGTTGAGAGCCTCCAATCTCTTCGAGGCATGGCCCACAACGATGCCACCCTGGCCCGTTTGACATCCCTTCAGGGCCCGGGGGCTGGGGCGTGGGTTTCTGCCGTTCCTTCGCACGAGGAGGCTACCTTCACCGCAGCCGAGTGGAGCATCTGCGCGTCCATGCGCCTAGGCCTCCCTATACAGCAGCTGATAGTGGCCGGCAAGTGCGCGTGTGGGTTTGAGTTTGCTGATCCCTCTGACCCGCATCATGCCCTTCGCTGCAAGTATCAGTATGCACCTTCTCGTGTTCACGATGCGGTTAAATTCGTGGTGGCGAAGATAGCTAAGGGTGCGGGTGGGATTGTGACCATGGAAGACGACACGTTGCTCCCAGGGAAGAGGGTTGATGTGGCGGTTCGGAAACTGAGGGAGGGGGAGGAGCACGCGCTGGAGGTTAGTGTGGTAGACCCTATCTCGCTATCCGCGCAGCACCATGGACAGATTGGTCGCAAGGTGGGTTTTGCCGCGAGAGAGAGAGAAAAGCGGAAGGCGGCGGACTACAAATCGCTTCTACAGCGGCATAGGGGAGTGCAGTTCACACCACTCATTGCTGAGACATGGGGATGCTTGGGGGGGAGTTTTGGACGGTAGCTGAAGAAGCAGGGTGACGCGCAGATCGAGATAGCAAAGACGAAAGGGGCGGCGCGAGCTACGGGAAAGGGTTTCTCGGCTTATTTGCTCGGATCGCTCAAAGCGGCCGTGGGTGTGGCTTTGCAGCGGGCTCAGGCGCGTGTGATCTTGTTACGCGCGGCGTCGATGATGAGAGGTCCAGAGGCTGTTTGGGTGGAGCGGGAGGATGTTGAGGAGGAGATGGGATGGGATGCTCCGTGGGCGGATGCACCCTACTTGGTAGACATGCGGGTTTAGAGGGTGGGTTTAGGGGGGGGGGTTGGTTCGATGGGAATGCAGTTGGGGTGTTTCACATGGGATGGTTTGATGGGGTTTCAAATGGGGGTTTTCTTGTGGTTGTGTTTGTTGCTTTTCCTTCCTTCTTCCCTGTTTTTCTTCCTCCAACCATTTTTCCGCCTTTTCCCTTCCTTCTTTCTTCTTCTTTCCTTTTCCCACTCACGTGTGTGTGTATTATTCCTCCTTTTCTCCTCTCTTCCCGTTTCCACTCCTTTTCCTTGCGTAATTATGCTACATTGTAATATTTTACTGTGTAGCTTCTTCTTTGTACACATAAATT